TTCTATTACTCAAGAGTAATAGATATAAAAAAATAAAAATAAATAAAAAAATGGACCTAAATTACAGGCTGATATACGCACAATCTGCTCGAGCACAAGAAGTGACGCTTGAGTGTCAGACACAATAAGTTGTTCCGCTCAAGCGCAAAAAGTGACGCTGGAGCGTAGATTACACACTTCCAGTAGTTTCGCAGACAGTAGGCCAATTCTCGAGCGTAAGAAGGGCCACTCGAGAAAAGACTGCTCGAGCATAGAATATACCCTCCCAGTAGTTTTGTAGGCTTGCAAAAGTACTGAAAGTTCACAAAACCCACTCGAGCATAATAAGTGCTGCTCGAGTGGAAGAGTAAAATTCTGGGCAACAAGAATTTGAAAACCAAGCTACCAACCTATTCCAAACGCAACCAAAACAACTCAAAAGCCAAACTCAACAAGGGGAAAAAGAATAAGACAAAAATAACAATACGAAACCATGAAACCCGAGCCCAGAATACAAAATGGGTTCGGTCTAAACTAGAATTGATATAATTACATTGATATGGAAACACTCATATCAATTGAATGCTATCGAAAACTCTCAAACATTTCCATCTCTTATCAAAATGGATGTATGCTCTTGAAAGACAAACCTATTGGACTATGCACTATTATGATTTTATCATCTGTTATAGTCTTCAAATTGATACTAATTTCGTTTCTCATGTCAAGTTGCTTAAGAGTACCCTCATATATAAATTTCATGACATTTTCTCTTAAGGCACACAAACATATTGCATAATTTTCATATCTTCGGGCTTTTGCTAGAAATTGATTGTTGACTCATGCTCAAAATGCTTCACATATCCTTGTCAACAATCTAATATATCTATGATTCTTGCTTGAGAATTTAATTGTTTCCTTAAGATAGCATAATCTTCCATAATGGATGAACTCATTGATTCAAAACTCTTGCCATATGTTTCCTTGCTAAATAGATTGTGTGCTCCACTTTTGATAACTTGAGTTAAATTGTTTTCTTTTTCACACTTTCCTGATATATTTCCTTTGTCTCAAATTAGAATATTTCTCTACAACTTGATTTGTATCCTTCAAAGAACATTTTAGACCATTGTGAAATCTTGGCATTTATCAAAACCTCATGTTACATTGTGAAATCCTTGTTTTGAGATAGATTGGGGAGAAATGGTAAATAGATTGGGGAAAATAATAGTGATGTGTTAAGGGAGAAATGGCGATGTTATGTTTTGGAATGGCATTCTAAGGAGTTGTATATTTTGTGCGTGGTGCTTAATAAATTGCAATAACAAAGTAGAATTATTTTTAAGAAAATGTCATTGCCGTCCTTTCCTCTCTCAGAGGGCGTAAAGGTTGGTGTTCTTTGTCTGGTGTGCTAGGGCTTATCTCTTCTCTTTGTAGGTGGTTTTTTTTTTTTTTTGGGTGTTTGGGAACTTGGGGATTCTATTGGGTTGTGAATCATATACACCTTAGTTTTGATCTTGTATCTCATTTCTTGTGTTGTGCTTGGTTTCTCTCTGTTTTTTATTTTTTCTTTTCTTTCTCTTTATGGTTGCCACGGTGGAGGCCCTCGCTAGGGTTTGTGCCTTATTGAGGTTGAAGAGGATTTGGCGGCTTTGGATGATGATCGTACAAAGGCCGCGGCATTGGTTGCAAATCTTTGTTTGATAGGCAAGATTTTGTCATTGTGTCCTATAAACCTTCAAACGATGTGGGCTACTTTGGTTCCTATTTGGCGACTGTTTCGGGATGTTAAGTTCAGTGTTGTAGGGGAGAATTTATTTCTTTTCCAGTTTGATCATCTAGTTGATAAGACGAAAGTGCTCACAAACAGACCCTAGAGCTTCGATAAACATCTCCTACTCCTTGGTAATTTTGATGGATCTCTCCAACCTTCTAAAGTTAGTTTGACTTTTGGATCCATGTTTACAATCTACCTTTGGTGTATATGACTAGAGAGGTTGGATCGCTGATTAGTATGAAACTTAGGGAATTTGTTGATATGGACTATAGTGTGAATCCATGTAAGGATTAATGTCTCTCATGCACTACGTCGTGGTATGAAGATTTCCCTCTTTGGGCAAAATGTGGTATGGGTGTCGTTCACATATGAACGATTATCAAACTTTTGTTAATTTTGTGGTAAGATTGGTCATGGTGACAAGAAGTGTGAATCTAAACTAGTGGCTTTTGTCCCGAGGCCACTCCAATATGGGCCTTCACTTCGTGTTGATATGTTTCGATTGAAGGGTTTCTCTGGTGAGTCTCGTGCTAGAGATGGTGGTTGTCATGCTCCAACAGTTGTGGCCCACGAGGGTGCACAGTTGGCGCCTCTGTTACGGTGGTATCACGAATGTCTCCATTGCCAAACCTTCTGGCGCTGGTTGCTATGGTTCCGTCTAGTCAAAAATGTGGGCTTATGGTTTCGGCCCCAAAGGCTAGTGCGGCTGCTGTTTTGGCGGATTGTGGGGACGTAGGGTCAAAACCTCTGCTTTTTTTGACTTCCCATAAACCACCTATGCGGGAGATTCTTCCCCATCAGGATTTGGTGCTTAGTGGGCCTGCGCTGCTTTTTGGGAATGCTATGGTGGTGGTAGGGGTGTAATTTTGGCCTGGCTCGGCCCGTGTCGGGCTTTGCGAGCTGCCGCAAAAAATCGGGCCTGGCCGGCCGGCCCACGAGCCAGAAAACTAGGCCCAGACCCAAGCCCAGGCCTAGGGGTATTCGGGCTTTAGGCGGGCCTAAACAATTTTTTTTTTTTTTTTCCACCAAAATTATATTATTTTCCATTAAAAATAACACTGAGTTTCAAGTGGGCTGGGTGGGCCGGACCTCGGGCCAGGCTTTTGGGCAGGCCTTGAGCAGGCCGATGGGCCGGGCCGGGCTTGATGGCCCAGGCCTTGGCCCAAGGCCTCAGGTTGGGCTTGGGCTCGGGCTTAAACGGGCCGGGCCCACCTCGGACCGTGGGCGAGCTTCGAGTTGCCTGCGGGCCACGAGCCAAAATTACATCCCTAGGTGGTGGATGAAAGTTGCCATAATGCTAATGGGCCTAATATTCTTACGACTAGTGTGGATCAGTTTGATAGTGGGCTGGTGGAGCCTAGTTGGGATGAGGTTTTAATTCGCTCAAATGTGATCAATGAAAAGTTGTGCTCTTCATCTGTTTCTTTGACTGACGAAAAAATGTTAGAGCTGGGGGCTAGATCTATTCAGCGTGGTGGAAGGCGATGGAAAAAACAAGCTTGTCAACGGGCTTCTAGTTCATGTTATTCCTCTCTGCTGAATGTAGGAAGCAGCGCGGGATAATGAGGATGCAGGAGATTTTGATATGGTTGTGGAATCTAGTAAACGAGTTTGCATGGCTTCGATGGCAACGAATATGTTTGCCTCTTCTGACTTAATGGCGGCAGCTGTTCTCTAGCGCCGCTGATCGCCATGAGTCTCCTATGTTGGAACTGTCGGGTGCTGGGGAACCTTCTGACAGTTCGAAGTCTTCAGTTCCTTTTGAAGACCGAAGGTCCCTGTTTAGTTTTTCTTACGGAAACTAAGCTTCAAGTTCATGATATGGAAAGGATTCGCGTTAAATTGGGTTTTAGTGGTTGTTTTGTGGTCAACTGTTGTGGTTTGTCGGGGGGTTTGGCCCTGTTATGGTCTGCTGATGTAAAGATTTCAATCAAAAGTTACTTTATGGGTCACATTGATGCTTTGGTGACTGAGGGATTAGGGGTACGGGCGTGGCGTTTCATGGGGTTTTATGGACATCCTGAGGTGATCAAACGCAGGAATTCTTGGGAACTCTTGTGCCGACTTCATAATGGTAGTAATTATCCGTGGTTATGTGCTGGTGATTTTATTGAAATTCTTTTTGATTCAGAGAAATGCGTATGGCTATTCGACATAGGTCACAGATAGAGGCTTTTCATCGGGTTTTGAGTAATTGTCATCTCTCTGTTATGGGTTTTATTGGAGGGAAGTTTACATGGTGTAATAATCGTGACTCGGGTTTGGTTCGGGAGCGTCTTGATAGGGGATTGATAAATGATGAGTGGCAGACCTTATTCCCTGAAGCCAATCTTCATACTCTTGTGAGTTCGATGTCAGACCATTCTCCTATTCTTGTGGATTGCTTTGGCTTATGTCGAGTAAGGTCTCAGCTTGGCCCGCGCTATGGAAGAGTTTACCGTTTTGAAGGGATGTGGTTGCAGGAGGAAGCGTGTGAACAGGTGGTTGCTAATTGTTGGAACAGTGATGGATCTAGCGCCAATGGAGATGGTTTATAGAGAAACATTGTTCGGGCTAGTACAGAGCTAAAAGGGTGGAGTCATACCCAGTTTGGACATCTTCAAAAACAGTTGGGGGTAAAGACCACATGTCTCGAATGGTTGCGCTCACAACCAGTTGTGTCTGAAGATACGTCCTCGGAAATTCGGCTGTTATGTAAGCACATTGATGAGATCTTGAAGCGTGAGTCTGTCATGTGGTCTCAACGGTCTATGGCCAATTGGTTGCAGAACGGGGATCAAAATACTTCATTTTTTCATGCAAAAGCGTCGCAGAGGCATCAGAAAAAGCGAATTCGAGGTATGGAAGATGGTATTGGGAGGTGGGTTTCCGAACCTTTGGCTAGCACTTCACATAGTGTAGGTAGCACCATGTTGTAAAAGAAGGTGGTGGAGGGCTACACCAACTCACTAAAGGAAGATAGTGAGGGTGGCACTACCTTGGCCAATTATGGCTAGCACTTCACCTACTCCTCCTCTCTTGGTTATAAATTGAGATGAGTGAGGAGAGGTTTGTATCATCAGAAATTGGAGAGTGAGAGCTGTGAGTTGAGTGAGTTTCATCTCCTCCTCTGTAATTGTATTTTTGCTCCATTTTAGTGATAATTCTCATTTCTGTCCGTGGATGTAGGCATTGGGCCGAACCACGTAAATATTGTGTTCTCTGTGTGTGTGAGATAATTCTCTGGGTGTCTTTGATCCTAACACATATGACTATCCACTCAACTGCACACCACAAACTCCCATACAGATGCACCGTCGGTGAGAAACCCATTGACAATACACGCTGACAGCCATGAACGACGACCACAGGACAGAAAACCCACGCGTCATCTACATGTCGCCACCCGTAGCTCACGAGATCATCGAACTCACTACACCACGCTACAGCACTCACACTCACTGTAGCAACGACGCTGGAGCTGAAAACAATCCGGTGGCAAACCACCGATAACGATAACACGGTGACAAGAAGCCACCTCCATGACCAGTGAAACCAGTCAACACGGCGGCAACCACCCCAAGCAAGGAGCAAGAAGCCAAAACCGGCGCTAGAAACCCAGCGACAGTACCACCCACTACCGGAGAACCCACTAAAACCATCTTCAGCTATGGCCACTCGAACCATAACACGAAGAAAACTCCACCGTCAAGCATAACAGGCGGCTTTACTGGCCTGAGTTGCACCAGAAGATCATCACTAAAATACCACCGGGGGGAGCTTTCTCTCTCTAGAAAGAGAGGCTCTCTTTTGGTCCCCAACTTTGGGTCTCGTTTGTTTTTATAATTAAAATGGAGTAGATTCTAGTACGATCACGTTTGTTTGTTTAGTTGATTAAGGAGTTGTTTGGTATGATTTAAATAAGTGTATTTTTTATCTTTTTATAAAAAGATGTGTAGAAAAATAGAGAGATGATATAATGAAAAAAAGATAAAAAGATGGATTATTTGTAATTTTCCAAACTTTGTCTAAATTAAATGTGATTGTTAATGAGAGGATTATTAGTAAAGAGATTATTAATAAAATGATTAAGTAAAAGTGTATTTATTTTAATGATAGTGTAAAAAATAATTAGTGATCAAATTGTTAAATTATTTTTATATAAAATAAATAAATAAATTATTTTTATATTAAAAAAACTAAAACAAATAGGTGTACTTGCTCAAAAAAATAAAAATATAGATAAAATTTTTATATAAAATAAACTTAATCCCCCTATTATTTTCCTACTTTCATCTAAAATTCGCTCAAACTAATCTCCCTCAAGCCGCTTGGAGTAGCAATCTCACTTTACAAGGAAGTCATCAAACAAGAGTTAGTGGGACCCACCTCTTTACTATTCCAATCTCACCTTCCATTTTCTCAAACAAACATGACCTAAGGCCACGTTTGTTTAGCGGATTAGGTTGGATGAAATTATTAGTGAGATGATTGTTAGTGAGGTGATTAAGTAAAAGTGTGTTTGTTTTAATAATAGTGTGAGAGATGATTAGTAATGGGATTATTAAATTATTTTTATATAAAATAAATAAATAAATTATTTTTATATTAAAAAAA